AGGAAAGGAGTGGCAAAGATTGAAGAAAGGGAAAGAGAAGAAGAAGAAGAAGAAGAAGAAGAAGAAGAAGAAGAAGAAGAAGAAGAAGAAGAAGAAACGGAGCGATCCTCCCCTCCCCCCTCCAAGCCCCCCCATCCCCTTTCCCCCAGGGTCCCATGGCTGGGAAGACGGGAGGAAACTACAACTCCCGTCCTGCCTCGCGGGAAAGCAGCTGCGGGCGAGCGCGCCCCCTGGAGGATCCCCTGAGCTCTGCAAGCGCCCAAGCCTCTGCGAAGCATCCCCTTCGGAGGCTGCTTTGGAATTACGCCTCCTCCTCCTCCTGCCGCCGCCGCCGCTGCCCTTCGCATGGAGAAGGCTGGGCCAGGCAGGTGCAAGCCGGGACGGGAAGAGAAACGCCGGTGGCTCAGCAGATTTGGGCTTTGCCGGCAGCTGGTGGAGGAGGAGGACGAGGAAGCAGCGCCCGTTCCTGCGCTTGGGGGCTGCCACGCAAGGCTTGGAGCAACCCCTTCTCCTCCAAAGAGATGCGGGGAACGCCCGTGCCTGGCTGCAGGTGGGTGGCGGGGCAGGGCACGGGGAGGGGGGGTCTGGAGGGATAGGATAATAATGGGGAACAAAAGGGGGCGCTCCCCCCTGCAAGCCCCCCCCATTCATTTCCATCCCACCCTCTCTCCTGCTCCCCCAATTCAATGCAAGGTCTGGAAACAGGAACCAAGATGGGGAGGGGGAAGAGAAGAAGACCCCCCCATCCCACCCAGTTTTGAATTGGGGAGGGGGGAGAAATAATCCAATGGTTCCCCCCCCCCTTCCAGCTTGGTTCTTCACCTCCCCCCACCCCAAAAGAAACGAGACTCTCCAATTTCCTGGGTGGGTGGGGACTGTCTTCCCCATCAGCCCCCCTCCCCAATGTGGGCGAGGGAGGCGGGGCTCCGCCAGAGCCAGTGGGGGGGGGTCAAGTGTAGAATGCAACAACCTCCCCCCCCTCCCCTTTTCCAAGCATTGCAGCAAAATCCTTGCCCGTTGGGCCCGTCCCTGCTTCACTCAGAAGGAACCCCCACCCCAATTGTGGGTGATTATAGAGGGGATCTTCCAGCCCTCTAATGATGTGCGTGAGGGGGCGCCCTGCGTTGGCATTGCCAAGGCAATAGTGTGTTTGTGGGTCTGTGTTGCGGGTAGTTAATGGAATGCCGAAAATGCCATGTGTTGAGCTTTTGCCAACAACTCCACAATATTGGCAAAAGGGGAAGGAGAAAGGGGCGGATAGGATGAGGAGCGGGGACCTCCCCCCCTCCCCCAATGGGTTTAAATCATCTTTAAACCTCCCCCCCCCCTCTCCCCAGCATCAAACATGCACAATCAAACGGCTGGACGAGGCTAGGAAGTTCTTCTCCGCCCTTGCGGTAGAAAATGCGGGGTGAGGTTGCAAAATAGCCCCTTCTTCCCCCCCCCCCAAACCCAGCCTTGCCAGCTTTTACGCCACAGCGGCCTGGTACTACAAAGCCCATCCATCCAGTCTGCTGGGAGATCAGATCGGGAGAGAGAGGTCAGCACGAGAACGCTCATGGTTATAAAACACTTGCTCTGGATTTAATCTCCCCGCATCGCTTTGGTGCCTTGCTTAGCATAACAAGGTTGGAAAGGGGACCTCAGAGGCCTTCTAGTCCAACCCCCTGCTCAAGCAGGAGACCCTCTCCCAAACGGATCCAGATAAAAGGTTGTCCAGTGTCTCCCCCGGAAACTTAAAACCCCAATAACAACAATTTCTTTAAAAAAAAACAATAAACCTGCACAGGGCAAAAGAGTGGGAAGATCTTAGCCAACACACTTCCACATTTCAAATCACGTTTTACAAGTTTCCTGAGCCATTCCGCCTCTCATGCTTCTTGATTTCCGCTTGTGTTGGAAAGCTGAAACTTTTCTCCGGCTTTTGCAAGGTCACAGAGAGCGGTTGGATTGGGTTTGCTGCCTCCTCATTTGGCAGGTAAAATGGTAATCCGTAAAAACAGAAGAGAAATTCTTTTGTTGGGCCAAGTGTAATTGGAGACACGAGGAATTTGTCTTTGGTGCAGAATATGCTCTCAGGGTACATGAAACGGAATGAATGGAAGTTTTTTCCCGGGGAACCCATGGATAAGTCGACATTATTTGTTGAGGTCTACAACTTTTGGATCCCGTTTGAATCGGGATCAAACTTGACTCTGCCCAGGGGGATTTGAAAAGTTTTGGGGTAACCCTGCCTGTGTGATGAATTTACGCCTCGTTGTGTACAGTGGGGAAACAAGCAGTGGAGTGAATTCAAAAGACTTTAGCCCCGCTAAAGGGGTTAGGACAGTGATGGCTAAACTTTTTGTTGGCCCGCAGAGAGGGGTCGGCGTGCTTGCCATAGGTTCGACATCATGGGGTTAGGAGGTTGTGTGAACGTGGCTGATAGTAAAACGGCGGATCCAGAAGATGGGTTGGGGGGAAGGAAGAGAAATGCGATTACGCCCACTTGCCATTTTTAAAAGAGAATGCATTGATAGAGCATTTTTAAAAGGGGACAGCGGCCTTCCTTGCAATGAACATGCAGAAAATACAGCCGTTCAAGAAAACATAGGTACGAAGATAGAAGAGGGTCAATGTTTTAAAATTAGTTTCCAGCAGGGAAAATGTTGTGGCCCGCTGGCAGTCATCGAAGCTGGCAGCAGATTCGGACACTGAGGAGGTTGGGGAGGAACCTGGGCCAGTCCTGGAGTCTGGGGAAGGCTCTGATGAGGGCTGTGTGTTGGAGGCAGAGCCATGTACCAGTTATCAGCTGCCTTCAGAGTCAGACATCAGTGAAGCAGAAGAACAGCTGGAGCCTGTTCCCAGACGAAGGGAACAGCTAAAGAATAGGGGTTGACTTGGGAGTAAAGCCACAAGGGGACGATGAATGGCCCCTCCCAGAGGAAATAAAAGAGGAGCGAAAGGGGAGTGGAGTTTGCAGGAGACCATTAATTCGCTTCATTGGTTCGTGACTCTTTGAGAGGCCTTGCCAAGTTCTGCAGAGATCAGCCTGGCAGCTCTCCAAGCCAGATAAGGTCTGTGACTGTAAATCCTCCCTCGAAAGACTTTGCTGGAGGTGAAGGAGCAGAATTCGCTCCTTCGTGGGTTTTTTTTGTCGGGACCAGGAGTTTGCTGAATCTTCGGTCAGAACAGAGAAAATCACCTGAATGCACTTGTCTCAGTGGGAGAAGCAGGGAAGTTATTGTGCCATCAAAGCCAGTCACACGGAGTCAGTTGGGAAGTCGTATTGAGGGCATAATTTTCTGCTTAGCCAAGTAGAGAGCTTTATGGAAGGGCCCACAGGAACAGATTGCCCAAGAACGAAACGTGGCATGATGAGAAGGCTGAGTATCTAATCTGGAGAGGGAAGGGCATGGCCCCGTATCAAAAGCATCCCTGGGAAAATATATATATATATATTAAAAGGATGCTTCAGCTGGAAACGAGACGCCTGGTTGGCATATGCAAAGGAAGGAAGCAAGGGAGGATCTGATCACAATCCCTGAGCGCATTCATGAAGGTAGCAGCAGAGATGAGGAGGTGGCTCCGGATTTGGTCCTGAGTTGGCCTCCAGAAGGAAGTTCTGGGCATCATCAGCTGGAAATCATCAGCAAAGCTAAGACACCAGGCAAGCAGGTGAGGAAGAGAGAGTCCAAAACTCTATGGTGGGAACCATAGAGATGGGAGGAGGGTAGAGACTAGAGGAAGGATGAAGGTTTGGGATGTGGAAAAACCACCTTGAAGTTTCTCTTTCGGGGAATGGGGAGGGAACGGTTTCTAACAGCCATCCTCACGTTTGGGTGCTTTTTCAAAAGGCAACTGGACTTTCATTTTCCTTGAAAAGGTTTCGCTTCTCGTCCAAGAAGCTTCTTCAGTTCTTCAGAAGGCAACTGGACGTTGTTCTTCCTTGAAGACGCTTCGTCTTCAGAACTGAAGAAGCTCCTTGGATGAGAAGTGAAAGGTCTTCAAGGAAAAACAAAGCCTAGTTTCCCTTCTGAAGAACTGAAGAAGCTTCTTGGATGAGAAGTGAAACCTCTTCAAGGAAAAACCAAGCCCAGTTGCCTTCTGAAGAACTGAAGAAGCGAAACCTCTTCAAGGAAAAACAAACTCCACTTGCCTTTTGGGTTAAAAAAAAAAAAGCATCTTTGGGCCAATCATGATTTGGATGACTGAAAACCTGCCTAGGACTTCAAGCTTGGATTGGCACCAGAAGAGGAGGCATTTCCCCAAACATTGGTTTTGGAAGATCATGGCACATGGAACATTTATTTCTTTATTCNCTTGGTGCTTTTTGAGCTTGGAGGTTTTCTTGCAGGTGTTTCATGACCCAACTTAGTAGCATCATCAGTGCTAGAGCTGGGATTTAAGGAGGAGGAAGAGGAGGAGGAGGACTTGATGCTCTCTGAGCTTGGTTGTTTTCTTGCAGTCATTTCATTACCCAACTAGGTAACATCATCAGTGCTAGAAGGGAGTTGGGTTTAGAGAGAGGAGGTGGAGAGGGAGGGAGGAGGAGGAAGATGAGGAGGAAGATGAGGAGGAGGAGGAGGACGATTATCTTAGAAGGAAATTAATCAGTGGAATGAACTTGTCTCCAGAAGTTGTGAATGCCCCAACACTGGAAGTTTAAAAAAAGATGTTGGATAGCCATTTGTCTGAAGTGGTGTAGGGTTTCCTGCCTGTCCAGGGGGTTGGACTAGAAGACCTCCAAGGTCCCTTCCAACTCTGTTATTCTATTCTATTCTACTCTTCTCTACTTTACTCTATTCTACAACAGTTCATTTAATGACTATTCAAAGTTATAACAGCACTCAAAAAAGCGAATTATCACCGTTTTTCACACTTGCAACCATTCTCGTAGCCCCACAGCCACACAATGGAAATTCAGATGATTGCACTTAGTTCATATTAATGACGGTCCCAGAACGAGGAAGTCAGCCATGTCACTAAGGTAAGAGCTGCAGGGATGCACTCAAATCATTGTGGCAAGAAAGGTCATAAAAATGGGGCAAATATATCATTTAACCAACATCTCGCTGAGCCACCGAGATGTTGCAATCGTCGCTCTATTAACATGCCGAGTCTTTGCTTTCCACCTTGGCTCTACTTTATTTATTTATTTTATTTATTTAGTTTGTCAAACATGTACATTGACGTTGAGCCTTTATTGATTAACCCTTGGGGGCACATCAAAAGTGCAAAGTTCCAGAAACACATCGTTACTAAAAATTTTGATCAAAGCAAATTTAAAGTGGGATGTGACAAAGCACAATTTAAAATGAAATTGGAATAAGCCGCGATTTAAAAGGGAATTGGAATGACATACAGTCTAAAATGACATTGAAACAATTTAAGCTACAGATAAAATACGATAAAACTATATTTCGGTGTCACTCCTGAAATCTACCCCCAATTGGTCCCACCTAGGCAGATCTCAACCAACCCATTTTGTTTGAAGTACTGTGCTGTGTTAAATGTTATTTTTAGGTTCTCACTGCACATAAGATAAGTTATTTTGTTATTGGGCGGGGGGGGGGTGTCAAACATGTACAACAGAACAGGTAGTTGTAGTTGTAGTTGTAGTTGAGTTTATTTATAGGCCGCCCTTTTCCCTGAGGGGACTCAGGGCGGCTAACAACTTGTATGGGAGGGGNGGTTTGGGATGTGGAAAAACCACCTTGAAGTTTCTCTTTCGGGGAATGGGGAGGGAACGGTTTCTAACAGCCATCCTCACGTTTGGGTGCTTTTTCAAAAGGCAACTGGACTTTCGTTTTCCTTGAAAAGGTTTCGCTTCTCGTCCAAGAAGCTTCTTCAGTTCTTCAGAAGGCAACTGGACGTTGTTCTTCCTTGAAGACGCTTCGTCTTCAGAACTGAAGAAGCTCCTTGGATGAGAAGTGAAAGGTCTTCAAGGAAAAACAAAGCCTAGTTTCCCTTCTGAAGAACTGAAGAAGCTTCTTGGATGAGAAGTGAAACCTCTTCAAGGAAAAACCAAGCCCAGTTGCCTTCTGAAGAACTGAAGAAGCGAAACCTCTTCAAGGAAAAACAAACTCCACTTGCCTTTTGGGTTAAAAAAAAAAAGCATCTTTGGGCCAATCATGATTTGGATGACTGAAAACCTGCCTAGGACTTCAAGCTTGGATTGGCACCAGAAGAGGAGGCATTTCCCCAAACATTGGTTTTGGAAGATCATGGCACATGGAACATTTATTTCTTTATTCATCTCTAATAATTTATTAGCCTTGTGGTGAGATGTGAAGCCAAAGGACATCAGAAAGTCCATTTTTGGTAGGACAACTTTTTCTCTCTCTTGATTCTAGAAGGCATCTTCGGCTGAAGTCGGTCATCACTCTTGGGGGCTTGCAAAATCTTTCTCCCTGTTGCCCCAAGACGCCCCGTTTCACTTTGATTGCAAAACATTGCCTTTCATTTTAACGACAGCGACTGAAGCGAGCCAGCTTCAAACAATGGTTAATAATAGGCTTGTTTCAAGTATGTAGAAGAGTAAACATTATTTGTCCAGGAGCTGGAAATTGGCAAGTTTAAGGATGGTTTATTGCAAAGACAGCCCGCAGTTAACAATTTTACATGAAGAGATACAGTGTAGCATGAATGAAGTCTTTCCCTAATATTTTTTAATATAAAGGCCTTACAAAATAATGGAGTTGGATTAGAAGACCTCCAAGGTCCCTTCCAACTCTGCTATTCTATTCTATTCTATTCTATTCTATTTGGATTTTTTAAATTAGTTGCCAGCAGGAAAAAAATGTCAGAAACGTATTAGGCAATTGTTTTCTGTACCACTTTCCGTATTTTTCGCTCCATAAGACGCGCTTCTTTTCCTCTAAAAAGCGGGCAAAATCTTTTAATTAATTTTTCTTTTTCGGGTGGGTGGCACACAATTTTAGCGTGTGCCCTGCTACCTTTGCCATCGTGACTTCCAGGCGTGCTTCTGGATCATATATACATATACAGTATATCCAGGCATATGTATGTATGTATGTATGTATGTATGTATGTATGTATGTATGTATGTATGTATGTATATAGGCCTGGCTAGTTGATTAGGGAGTTCGAATCCTTAGTATAAGTCTCCTGCGTGAGCAGGGTGTTAGACTGGATGACCTCCAAGGCTCCTTCCAACTCTCTTACTGTTAATTCTTTCAGGACTGCGGATCTGGAAAGCTGGTTTGCAAAGCCCAGGGTGGTTTTATCCAAAAGGAGAGACTTCCAGGACAGTTGCTATGAATATTATTTTTACAGTGACATCTAAATGAGCCATGATGCTTAATTCTTTTCTAGGCATGGTTTTTCTTTTCTTTAAAAACTTTTTCATCCTGTAGGGAACTTTTCACTTCCCTGTAAGGCATGTGAAGTTGTTAGCTTGGGCAAAGTGTACTTCCCCCACCCCAGCTTCGGGTTAAACTGCATTTTTCTTGGTTATAGATAGGTATATATATGGGTATATGCATGATGGTTAGCTTTTGAGAGCTGAATGCAACGAAATTTCATTTCAATGCATACTGATTAGTGTACATTTAAAGTGACAATAAAGTTGTATTTTATTCTGTTCTGTTTCATTCCATTCTATTCATTCCACTCTATTCTGTTCTGTACTATTCTATTCTATTCTGATTTCTCTTCTGTTCCAATTTCTCTTCTATTCTGATTTCTCTTCCCTTCTGTTCCAATTTCTATTCCAATTTTTTTTCTATTATATTCTGATTCCTCTCTTCCCTTCTGATTTCTCTTCTCTTCTTGATTTCTCTTCTGTTCCAATTTCTATTCCAATTTCTATTCTATTCTATTCTAATTTCTCTTCTTTCTCTACTCTTCCCTTCTGATTTCTATTCTATTCTGTTCCAATTTCTTTTCAAATTCCAATTCCAATTTCTATTCCAATTTCTGTTCCAATTTCTCTTCCAGTTCCAATTTCTCTTCCAATTTCTCTTCTCTTCTGTTCTTTAACTTTTGGAATGAAACCTCCTCACCTCCCTGCTCTTTTCGCAAACCACACCTGAAGACTCATTATTTGAAAATTTCCACTTAAAGCTGGTTTCCTGCAGTGCTATTTCTTCAGGACAGCGCTGGAATGCGTTCAGTGTGATTTACAGTGAAATGAACTCCCAATAAATTGCAGTGAAATGTATTTTTATTATTAATACTCGAATGAATACTTATTCTTAATTTCACTTCATTAACTGAAGTTTTAATTAAAGTCTTTCATTTGATAGCGAGTTTTCTTCTGCCGCCTGTTCAATTTTAAAACTTCTCGGCTCGCGTGAAGCCTCAATAACTTTTGACTTGGTGCTGATATTTAGCTGGGAAAGGTAGAATTGTATGCTTTATTTAAAATAAGATTCTTTTGGACTTGGCTAAGTAAATAATAGATATGTGAGTCTCTACCGTTTAGAAAATTGAAGCCAGTTCAGCTTGGGAGCAAAGGTTTTACCGGTGCTATTTTTCTGAAGCGCTTGGGATTGGAACGATCGATTCAAATCAATCTTTATTACGGTCATAACCAGCATAAAGATTGGAGAGAAACGTGATTATTTCAGAGATGAGCAACCAAGGAAAAACTCAAAGAGGGATCTTATCTTGCATAGAAACTGCCCCATCATCAAAGAAGAGTCGTAATCATAACTAACCGGTTGTAATTATTGTAATTGCAGTTGCTGTGACCTGGAATCCCCTTTGGACTTTTGGCCTAAATCTTTGGACTTTTTTAAACTCAACCTCTCTCTTTTTTTTAAAATCAGGTGATGATCCCCGCAGCGTCCTCTCCATTTGGGAAAAGTGACACGAAGGAAGCAGCAGTGGAAAAATTGTAATAATCGGAGGATTAATTACGACCGGGAGCCTGCTTTTCTCACAGTATGTTTGCCTCCAATTGAATACGTGTGGGTTTGGGTTGTTTTTTTCCAAAATTAATCGAAGGAACAAATTTTAGCAAAGAAAAACGGACGTCCAGCTTAAAGAAATATTTGCGCAGGATTTATTCTATCAGCATTGCTTCGGTGCCTTAGTTAGAACGTAGAATAACGGGGTTGGAAAGGGGACCTCAGAGGCCTTCTAGTCCAACCCCCTGCTCAAGAAAGAGTTCTGGATAAACAGCAGTTTCTTCTTGAAAACTTAAAATGGGAAAAAAAAAATTCTGTTTTCTTTTTTTTTCCCCTTCCTTTTTCTTTCAGGCCAAAATGATGCGTTGGGTGGGCCTCCTTTCATTCTCCGTCATATTCCGGCTGTTTTTTGACCTGCCCTGGGTTCAAATTGTGCCAGCCCTTTTCATATTCTACTTGGGCTCCGGTGGATGGAAGTTCCTCCGCATTTTCGCCAAGACCATCAAGCGAGATGCTATGTAAGTCACGCCGCTTCTTCCTTTCTTGCTTTCCCTGTGAATAGTCCCCCGACGTACGACCGCAACTGACTTCAAAATTTCTGTGGCTGAGGGAGGCCGTTAAGTGAGCTTTGCCCCGTTCTACGGCCTTCCTTGCCACCGTTGTTAAGGGGAATCCCTGCACTTGTTCAGCTCGTCCCACGGTGATTAAATGAATCTGCCTTCCCCATGGACTACGCTTGTCAGAAGGCCACAAAGGGGGATCACGTAACCCTGGGACATGGCGATCGTCATAAGTACGAGTGAGTTGCCAAACGTCTGACCATGGGGATGCAGTCATAAGTGTGAAAAATGGTCATGAGTCACCTTTTTTTGATGCTGTTGTAATTTTGAACAGTCATTAAACAAACTGTTATAAGTCTAGGACTATCTATAAGCCAAATCTATATTATTATCATCATCATCATTATTATTATTATTATTATTATTATTATTATTATTATTATTATTATTATTATTATTATTATTATT